TTTGAGGCTGCCGGAATGGTTCAAGAATAAGAATCCGAGATGTAAGTTGATTATTTTTACTGCTACCGTCAATGTATACAAGCGTACTAGATGCGGCGTTCCATAGTCACGCTGTTTCGCTGATGTGCCGTGAAGACTCAACACTTCAATATCATAGATTAATAAACAACAGAGTGTTCTGACTACACAATTATAGAGTAGGGATAATACACTCCCGGACACATAATTGGAGCATTTTTGTCCTAATAAAATTTTATATAAAAATATTTGTTTATTTATTTTATTTTATTATTTATTGTACAGGAAAATACAAACAAAAGGTACTGCTTATTTCTGTAAGGAATTTCTTCCTGTAGTACAAAATGTATAAACATATACCGTTACGAAATAATAGGGGTTAAAGTATGAAATTGCCGATTTGTACTGAAAATCTAAATTGTTCATTTTTTACATTTTTAACAAATTTATTTAATCAAAATAGTTGCCATTATTATCTATACATTGCTGCCATCTAATGGGAAGGTTATTAATGCCTTTGCGATAGAACTCCGACGATCTAGACTGCACAAACTGTGTGAAAGCATTTTGTACTGCCTCCTGGGAAGAAAACTTCTTGTGACGTAGATAATTGTCCAAATCACGAAAAAAATGGTAGTCCGTTGGAGCAAGGTCTGGTGAATACGGAGGATGACGAATGGTTTCTAACTGCAGTTCCTGAAGGGTCAAAATGGTTTCTCGTGCTGTGTGAGGTCTCGCGTTGTCGTGGAGCAATAATGGTGAAGATCGATTCATGAGTCGGGGCTGTTTTACTGCTAGTTTTGTCAACATGGTTCGGAGTTCGGCACAATAGACATCTGCCGTTATTGCTTGACCAGATCGAAGAAAACTATAGTGAATAACACCATGCTGAGACCACCAAACAGTTACCATTACCTTTTTATTGGTAAGTTTTGCTTTAGGACACTGTTGTGGCATTTGACCTGGGGTCAGCCATTGCATTTTTCTTTTCCGGTTATCATAAAGAATCCACTTTTCATCACATGTTACAATTCGATCCAATATTCCTTCATTTCTGTACCGGTTCAACAAGGCAACACAAGTTTCAACACGCGTTTCTTTCTGCAGATCAGTCAAATCATGAGGCACCCATTTTTCGTATTTTTTTATTTTATTGATTTGACGCAAGTGAGTCAATATTGTGGGTAAGGTAACGTTAAACCATGCCGCTAATTCCTGGGTAGTTTGACTAGGATCGGCTTCCACTATCTCTCTTAATTCATCGTTATTCACCTGTGTGGGCGGTCTTCCTCGTGGCTCGTTCTTTAAGTCGAAATTTCCATCACGAAAGCGTTTAAACCAAAATCGCACGGTGCGTTCATTAGTAGACCCCTCTCCAAACCATGAAGATTCTATGAAAATTCAAAGAACCTATTGCAATAAAACGGCAATTTCATACTTTAACCCCTAATATATACCGTTATTGTAAGGACACAGTAATTACAATAACGGGTTCGTACCCAACAAAACAAAATTTAATTATGTAATAAAATAATAATAAAAAGAAATAGCAAATAGTTATTTTTATTATTACGAGTCTCGAGGCTTCGAGACAAGTGAAAACGACAAATCCGCACGTGTATCAACGTTTTTTAATACATTTGCGAAAAAATTACATTGAAAGTAAAATAAAACACTATTTTAAAAAATCTCCTTTTTTGGCCGACTTTTTTCAATATGGCAACTGTTGCCAGTATTCAGGTACAATAAATATACTTATTTTAGTGGCGCGCAGCGGTCTCGCGTAATACTCACCTCCTGGTCATTGTTAATACTCAATCAGCCATCTTTATGGAAAATACTTTGGTATTTTCAAATGTATTCCGTTGTTTTGTAAAACACCTACGCAATTTAAACAAATAACATGTTTGCAAGTAAATATAAGTTTTAATGACGAATGACCTACGTCACAAAGCACATAAATAGCAAATAAATATACAACCTCTTTAGTTCTACGTTTAAGACTTGAAACAACAGTAAATTAAAAAAAACAAAGTCAAAAGTAAAAAGCACTAGTGCGAAAAATCCAACTTTCGGCACGATTTGTAGTACGAAAAATACCACGTTTTGAGCAACTGTATTAAAAGATATTAAATTTTCTACAGACTATCGACGCCGGAAAACGATCTTGTCGTATCTCGAAAAACAGTGCTTTACACCAGGGCCGAAAAACTATTTCAAAAAATTATTTCTCTTTAATTTGAATTAGTAGAAAGTCAATTTTAAAGTATGATGTATATAATCAATCATCCGGCGTCGTTTATATTGCAAATACTTAGATCTTCACAACTTCCTCGAGCACGAGGGGCTCTTCTTGATGAATTCGTTCTTCAAGAAGAAGCCTCAAAGGAAGTGGACTTGGCGAAGCCCCGACGCTGTGACTAAAAATGAGATCGATTTCATCCTGACGGACAAGAGACACATATTCAGAGATGTCTCAGTGATCAACAGGTTTAGCACCGGATCTGATCACCGACTTGTACGAGGCTCTCTGAATATCGATGTCAAACTTGAAAGAAGCCGCTTGATGAAGTCCACGCTCCGTCCTAATCCACTCCAGATCATGGCGGGCTCCGAGAAGTTCCACGAACTTCTCGAAGCGAGATTCGTCGAGCTGAAACCCACCGAGGACGTTGACGAGGCCCTACAAAGCGTGGTTGGGACGCTGAGAAGCGAGGGCATCAAATTCTGTCAATTGCAGCGTACGGGAAAGAAGTCTAAACTCTCGGATGAGACTCTGCGACTTATGACGAAAAGACGCGATGACATCCAGGCCACTTCGTCAGAGAGGTCATACCTAAACAAGCAGATTGCGAAGATGGTACGGCGTGACCTTCGGAGTTCCAATACACGCCTCATTGAGGAGGCGATAGAGCGAAACCGAGGGTCCAAAGTATTCACTCAGCAGCTTGGAAGGAGCCACCTGACGAAGCTTACAACGCACGATGGCCTAACCGTTACGTCAAAGCCGCAGATACTCGCCGAGATAGAGGACTTCTATGGCCGTTTGTACGCTGTAAATGCTCCTCGGGTCCAGCGTGACAATCACGATTTGAGAGCCACCTTGACGCGCCACTATACCGACGACCTGCCAGAAATCAGTCAAGACGAGATCGTGTTGGCTCTAAAACAGCTTAAAAATGGAAAAGCCCCCGGTGAAGACGGAGTTACTTCGGAGCTTTTGAAGTCTGGAGGAGTTCCTATTATCCAGGAACTTCAGAAGCTCTTTAACTTGGTCATTCACTGCGGGAGAACTCCACGGGCGTGGAACAGGAGTATTGTAGTTCTCTTCTTTAAAAAGGGAGATAAAACTCTACTGAAAAACTACCGACCCATCTCACTCCTGAGTCACGTCTACAAGCTGTTTTCTAGAGTCATCACGAATCGCCTCGCAAGAAGACTCGACGAGTTTCAGCCACCGGAACAGGCCGGGTTTCGGGGAGGATATGGCACCATAGACCACATACACACAGTGAGGCAGATTATACAGAAGTCCGAAGAGTATAATCGGCCCCTGTGTTTAGCTTTCGTGGACTATGAGAAGGCCTTTGACTCTGTCGAAACCTGGGCTGTCCTGGAATCCTTACAGCGGTGCCAAGTGGACTATCGTTATATACAAGTGTTGAGATGTCTTTACGATGCTGCTACCATGAGTGTCCAAGTACAGGACCAGCAGTCTGAACCTATCCAATTACGCAGAGGGGTGAGACAGGGGGATGTCATATCCCCGAAACTGTTCACCGCTGCATTGGAGGATATGTTTAAGACGCTGGACTGGAAAAGGATGGGCATTAACATAAACGGCGAGTACATCTCACACTTGCGATTTGCAGATGACATAGTCCTAATGGCAGAATCGCTGGAGGAACTGGATCAGATGCTGAACAGCCTAGCATCCGCCTCGCGGCGGATTGGTCTCGGCATGAACTTTGATAAAACCAAAGTCATGATCAATGACCACATTGATCCGAGACCCATCTGCGTCGATGGCCACCTTCTTGAAGTTGTTTCCGAATACACTTACCTCGGGCAGATTCTGCAGTTAGGTAGAAATAACTTCGAGAAGGAGGCCAGGAGGAGGATTCAGCTTGGCTGGGCAGCGTTTGGGAAGCTACGTCGAGTCTTTTCGTCGCCCATCCCGCAGAGCTTGAAAACAAAGGTTTTCAACCAGTGCGTCCTACCAGTTCTAACGTACGGAGCTGAGTCGTGGACACTCACGATACGGCTAGTCCACCAGTTTAAAGTCGCTCAGCGAGCTATGGAACGAGCTATGCTCGGAGTTTCTCTGAAAGATAAACTCCGTAATGAGGTTATCAGACAGAGAACCAAAGTGATCGACATAGCTCTTCGGATAAGCAAGCTGAAGTGGCAGTGGGCTGGACATATCTGCCGAAGAACCGACAACCGCTGGGGTAAACGAGTTCTTGAGTGGAGACCACGACTTGGCAAACGTAGTGTGGGACGCCCTCCAGCCAGATGGAGTGACGATCTGCGGAAGATTGCTGGCAGGAAATGGATGCGTCAAGCCGAGAACAGGGCGAAATGGCGTGCATTAGGGGAGGCCTATGTCCAGCAGTGGACTGCAATAGGCTGATGATGATGATGATGATGATGACTTAGATAAATACATATTATAATATCTATAAAATGGATACAAGAGAGGATTAATAGTGCTCCTAGTGAAAATATAGTTATCATCGATGAAAAAGTTTTCTCCAATATTTTAAATTCAAATTTTCAATAAGGACTTAAGGAAACGACATTTAGTATACCAGTTTCAAAGTTGTATAATAGCATTTTTGAGCAATCAAGCATTGTTTAAGAGCTCTCATGCCAAAAAAGTTTTGACGTTGGCTCCGCCCAAATTTGTGAAACAAATGTATGCCTGAAGTTCGCGTGACATGCGACAGGAGATGTTGAATTTTGCGCATTAAAAGTACCAAATTCGTTTTAGCGGAATAACTCTAAAACTAAAGGGATTAAAAAAAATCCGTAGTGACAGTTGTCGATCATGCGTAAATATAATTAATTATCTAATTTTTGTCCTAATAACCTGTAGCATTTCGAGGATAAATCGAAAAAATGTGAAAATTAGAGGTCATTTCGTGATTTTTATCTATGGAGGAAACTTTATTGTTTTATGTTTCTGATTAATGTCTATGCTTGAATATATCGTGTAGTTACTCATACAATATTTTATTTTTAACTTTAAAGTGGATATACCCCTCTAAAATCAAATCGAAGATTAGTAATTTTTCCTCTGCTTCCTCTTAAGCTTAGCATTTAATACTGAAAATGTAAGGTGGCTCGAATTATGTGTCCGGGAGTATATATATAAAATAGTTACAATGGTTACCACATAATAAATAAAAAATAAATAAAAAAAAGATGGCTGTATGGGCGAGGAAAAATACATAATTAACATGAATAATTTTAACAACTAGACTGTATTTTTCTTTTACTTAATTTTCTTTTTAGTAATATAATAATAATTATTAAGCGGAAAATAAAATGTATTTTGCAAATAATGGCGACTTTGCCAGGGGTTTTACGTTAATTCGTCGACTATGGATAAATATCATTGGTAAACACTCAATAATAACTAGCTAGCTTATTCCTAATAGGTATAGACTGTCGCCTCTGTCCACGGTATTACGGTATTGATAGTCTTTGACAAAATTCAACTCTAAAACAAAAAACACTGGGGGGGGGGTCGCCTCACACGTTCCACAATCTGTAAATTAATATGAATGAAATAAGAACAAGCGGAGAAATTTTGACGCAAATCCACCGTCGACAAGCGCCCGATGGCGGCTGACGGGGCAGCGGGTGGCGCGGTGTGTCATCAAACTGCAGGCCAATTTGCAAATTTTGGAATAAATGTGAATTTAATGACTAATAAAGCTTCAGTTGAAAACCAAAATTTATTCGTTTATCAGCAGTACTTAAAGGGGAATATCTTCAAGCTCTCAACAGCCCCGCACTAGGGAAACCCTGTGTCGTGGGTGCCATGGCCACACACATAGACAACCACAAATTACACCCAAACTCACGAGAGAAATAGACGAGACGAGACTCACGAGAGAGTAGGCCATACAATATTTCTTCCGGCCCGGGAATCGAATCTGGGACCTCTGCGTAGCAGTCATAGTAACCGTTCGGCCACAGAGGCAGTTAATATACAAAAAAATACAAAATTATTTATTTCTCCTCACAAAGCCAAATGACGCATATTAACAATAAGGTATTTAGATTAGTTAGTTACATTTGTGGGAGCCTGGAGCCTAAACTAGGTCTAGCCTGTATGATAGGTCTCCGCGCACCCACCCCGCGTGTAGTTACAACACATCAAGTGAATAATGGAGAGACAAGAGAGACTACAATCAAAGTATATTATATTAAACTTAGAGCGAACACGATTTCGTTTAACCATGGCAAACGACCCTGGTAAGTCAATATGAAAATTATGTGCAAAGTGATTCTAAAATAATTCGTACGTAATTATTTTCGCCTGTATTCACGATTTTATATGATCTGTTGAAGGACATCCTATCGTGTAATAAATTAGCACATTCTTTAGATAATATCCTTAAGCATATAGTATTTTTTTCCTAACACCATTATTTAATAGTAAATAGATAAACCATTTGATCTAGCGATACAGTTTTTCCCGCTTCTCGTCCAGTGACACACCTTATTTCGTGCGGCAGGGCATCTCACTATCACGGTCACTGTTGCCAGATTAGGCGATTTTTCGCCATTTAGGCTACTTGGAGGGGTCGCGCGGCGACTAAAAAAGTGATCGGCGACTCGGCGATATTTAGGCTATGTTTGAAATAGGAAAAGGCGATTTTAGGCTACTCAATAAAATGTCTGGGTAATTACAAATTTTATAGGGGATTTTGTGGGGAATGGAGTTGTAAACTAACTCGTTCGAGTATTTCTACGTGTCGGGAATTGGGAAAATAAGAGAGTTCATATTCCCCAATGTCCGGCAGCAAGCAGAATTGTAGAATTGGAGTGTTGCACTGCTGTTATTGATAAGCAAATATAGGAGAGAAAAAAACACAAAGAAGATTAACATCGCTAGAATGCGCGATACCGAGCAATAATCATTAAGGGGTCAAAATCATTGCTTTGAATTAGGTATACCATTACGTATTTCCAATTTCAGTAAAAATCCCGGTTCTGGAGGTACCAACAAGCGAAGGGGACAAGTTCCTCTTCGAGAGCATCGTCATTTGCGATTATCTGGACGAGAAGTATCCTCGGACTCCTCTGCACAACAGGGACCCTTACATGAAGGCACAGGACCGTCTGCTCATTGAGAGGTTTAATGAGGTAAGAGAGAGATAGAAATAAAGATAAATAGAGCTAGAGTCCTTGTGAAAGAGTTCGTCCAGCAGTGCGATCCACGTAAGTTCAAGCTATCAAAATATCGTTCAAGTTACGTAGTCGTTCGATCGAAGTCCTGTTCAAAATTGGTGTTCACGTATCACTTGAACGAACGTTGATATAAGTAGAATCGAAACGTAACGAGTAATGAACGAGATCTTGGATTTTGAATTTGACATTTAGTCGTCGAAAGTGTATTGAAAGAACTGTCAAAATTTTAGCAGAATACGTATGACTTGTCGTTTAGAGTCGACTTAAGTTCGATTCATATACCAGAATACGCTATAACGACATTTGGATCGAACGACTTTAAAATTGGACTCGTTGACGTACACTGTCACACGTGAATACGAAAAAGCAGTTGAACGACTAAATTGCTACGATGTCGTAACGGTTTGATTACGTGAATCACCCCCCATGGAAGTACTGTCACGCCGCCTTACCTATTTCTGCCGCCAAGCAGTAATGTCTGCATTACTGTGTTCCGGTTTTGAAGGGTAAGGGTGCTGGTGAAATTACAGGCACATGGGACTTGTGAACTTATGTCTCAGGGTGTCGGGCGCAGTGGCAGTGCCCCTCAGATATTTTGTGATTTAAAGTGACACTGCACTGTTAGGGACAGGCGTGACGCTTACCACCAGACACACGACTTGTTCGTTCCGTCACTTGGTATCATATAAAAAAAAATTGTAGACCGAGCTTTCATTTCCCTAAGGCTAAAGAAGTCCCTTTTGCGCCCTGAAAATAGAGATTCCACTACAGAGTTGCGAAATTGTAGACAGGGCATGTTTAATTTTGGGGTGCAATAAATACTATTCAATTTCAATAGTGCCTTTTGAACAGGCGGGTGTTGGACTACTTTTTTTTAAATAATTTAAAGTGACGGGACGAACAAGTCGTGCGCCTGGTGGTGTTATATCAGATGCACGAGTACGAGGTAATAATAATAAGATTACAATTTGAACAAATAAGAAAAAATCCGCATTCTACAACCATCAGTGTCTCTTCAGTATGTCTTTATTTCGGAACCATCGTGTCATCCAAGAATTTGTCCATATAATCTTGTTTTTCTTTTTAAAACAAATACAATTTAAAACAATCTTTCTTTTTCAGCTGATTAAAGGCAGCTTGGAATGTTTCGATACTAACTTTGCGTACGGCAGCGAACAGATCATCCAAACGTTGGATATTTTTGAAAAAGAAATGGATTCCAGAGGTAACTTAATCTGCACGTTTATTTTCAACTTAATCTAACATACGGGCTTAATTTACTTGACTCCGTCCAAAGACAGGCTGTTCGTATTGTCGATGATCCCAAACTCGCAGACAGTTTGAAGAGACATTGGCTGTTTGTGTCTTTAACTACACGCTTGCGCCATTGATCCATCAGGTTGAGAGACTCGCTTCACATAATATGTCGTCTTGGTCATCTACTTTCTATAAAAATGTAATAACTTAGTGTAGTGTAGAACGCGACCGGCCGTTATCGTAGTTAAACATCAGTCGAAAATACGAGAAATGCCTAATTGTGGCATTAGAAACAGCAAAGACACACAGCTACGAATAGATGAATAAACAGGGACGTTTCTTTCCACAGTTAAGTAATTTTGTAATCAGAATATGCTTCATTAATTTTAAAATCAATTATTTTCATTTTGAATGAATTTCAACAAATATGCAAACGAGTCTATCTTGATTTGTATTACATTGCGGCTTTATTTGGTGCGGTACATCTGTGGTTCTTCTATTAAGCCATGAATATCGAACGAGCGATACTTTCTTATAATGCATTCAGTTTCGTGGTACGGCCGCTTCGTTATGTTTTTGGTCAATTTTTTTATGTTCACTTGGTACACCACGGTTCTCGATTCTGATCACTGATGATTTCCCATCACTAGTCATCACAAATAGCGCTTAAGACGTCATCAGAGGTACAAAAAATGTGGCACGCTTGGTTTTCATACAGATCGCGTTACTTGGGGCATCTATTTAGATATATATCTGCGATTTCAACACTTGATTATTTTGTCAGAAATTCTCTATTATATTACTTGAAATTTAAGTAAATATGCTAGGCCATCTCTGATTACAAGATATGAAATAGTCACCGGAATATTTTCAGGAACAAACTTTTTCGGTGGCAACAGACCAGGCATGTTAGATTACATGATCTGGCCGTGGGTGGAGCGTCTGTACCTTCTGCGATGCGTCAATGAACGAAAATTTGATGAGAAACGGTCCTTGTTTCCTAACATGGTAAGTGTAACTCTTTTGAGTAATATTGTGCTAGACAATTACCCCTTGGTCCTAAGTCTGCTGCCCCTAGAGTGTCAATTGCCCCCTTTACACAGTCACTCTTTCGCGTGTGATCAGGAGCGTACAGGAATTACATGTTTGAAATTTTTTAAGAGGGATCGTCACGGTTTTAAGTAATCTAATAGCCACTAGATGGAGTTGGTAAGGCGAAATAATAGTTATTTAAGATTTTCGCAAAATTGACGGCCAAAACTTATACTTTTATTGTATACACGATTGGAGGAATTCATGATACATTTCAAATTCATATAACTATTCACATACAATATTTCAATTAGATAAAAATATATATTTTCGACTCGAAACTTAAGTTTACACATGCAAAATGTATGGTCTAGTGTCCTCTTTGTCCAAAGTATGAATACTAAAAGTGGAGTTCGAACCTCTGATCATCAAATTTTTTGTATTTTGTTTTTATTTATGCTAGTAATCAGCATTTTTCTATATTATTTCTTTCGCGCGCGATCGCTCGTGTTCGTTTTTGTTACAACGGAAAGAGCGTCCGTGTAAAGGCTAATAACACAGGTTAGACCGCGTGAAACTTCCGCGTGTTGGAGTGGATGGAACTGATTTTCCTTCCAACATCTTTACACGCGCGCTCAATCGCGCATAATATGCTGTATCACGTTCGATAGAGTGTCTTTGTAAAGCCCGCTAATAGCAGGATTTTGTAGGCACGTTTGATTTCCTCTAAAAATTAAAAAGCCTAATGATTTAACTCACTGCGTCTCTGTCCTTTTCCCTTCCTGTACTCTTTCTTTATTTTTACAATATAAGTAATGTAAACCGAGCCTTGTATTTAATTACGCGAGGCCCACGTGACAAGTGTGTAGGTATTAGTGAACGCAGAGCACGATGTGATGGGCCCTTATTTGAATCGCACCACTCAAACAATTGTATTTAACAAGGCTCGGTCCACATGACTTTTATTGTAGTAACAAGGAAAGAGTACAGGAAGGGAAAAGAACAGGTAAAGTAAGGGCGTAAAGGCTGTAACAAAACAATGAGATAAAAGCAGAGACCGGGAATTAGAATACCGTCTCGCACCTCTGAGTTTTAGGAATTGATGTGCGAAATTTAATTTGAAATTTACCATCGGTGAAGGAAAAACAACCCTCGTCTGAGAGGAGACCAGTGGCCAGCAGTGGGACTTATGAATGGGTAGATGATCACTAAAAGTTGATAGTAGTGGCTTGTCAGTAGCTAGCCTAGCTTAAGTTTTTTGTTGTTGTTGTATTCAAGAGATTTTAAACGTATTTATTGTTATTCAACCTTATTTTCCAGGCTGATTGGGGTGACCAAATGCAATTCGACGATGTAGTCAAAAAACACGCCAGTTCACCAATCGATTATTTCGATTACTACAAGAACGCTAGAACACATTCTATGGGATATTATCTGTAGATAGGTATATTTATTTACTTAATTATATTTTTTTCATACTGAAAATTTAAGTTTTTAGTCACAAGCAGAGATGGAAAGTGCAATCAACCCGCCCGGGGTTTAACCGGGTTTCTACCAATTTGTACCTAAAATCGAGGGCAGAAACCGCGAATACGGAATTTGCTATAATTCCATACTTATTACTTTGTACTTTGGACCGTTCAGATTATCGTAAGCGGCATAGAGTTGGATTTAAGTCTTAAGTGTCAAGCTTGACGTGCTCTTGGCCCTGTACCTACATTGCAATCCTATGAATTCTCACTATTTAGGATGCACATTACGATTAAATTTTTATGAAGATCGATTCAAGTGTATACGAATTCGATTTTCAAGTGATTCGATTCAATAGGAAGGCAAATCGAATCATCCATAACATTTTGTAATAATATCATTAAATATGAACAAAATTCAATTTACAACAAATATTTTAGTAAATATCGTTTGCCCTCGATTTCCGGCATTAATGGATTTTAACCCGATTTAAACCTGACTTTAACAAAGCGCCGGGATGAAACCTGGGCGCTCTTCCGTCTCTGGCCACAAGTCACAAACTTATTATTTAATGGATTTTTAGATGGCTCCATCGTTTTCGTCAGTAACTTCAACTTTTGACAGGTGTCAACGTCAAATGTGGAAAATTGGAAAAAAATAATGGAAATCTGAAAAAATATTAAATATTTTCTGAAAAGTTTTATTTTTTCAAAACGGAATTTTTTCCATGACTAACACTAGGTGCACCACAGTCCATCGTCAAGTTCGAATTTTAAAAAACCTTTTCCACGCTAGCGCGGATTTCTAAAGAGAAAGAAAGCCTTTCCGAGCTAGAGAGGTGAAAAAGTTATAGAATAATTTCGTTCTTAAACTCTCACCTGAAAAGTTGTAATTTTGTAATTGAAAACACATATTTTTATATTTACTTAACAAAAAATCACAAGAAAAATATATATGTAATGTAGTTTATATAGATAATTCAGGTTTCTTTTTCAAATCCGGTAGCGTCTCTGGACAACGTCAATGCTTCCTACGTCCCTACCCTTTGAAAGAGTCGGTAGGGACTTCGGCGCAGACCTTTTGCAGAGTTACAATCTGTAGTATGGATATTAGTAGTCCTCTTGTGTTATTGGTTCATGCTTAAACTTCGGCAAAATTCGTTTGATAAATTTCAGTCTTGGACGTAAAGTTGACTTGTCCCATTTGCCTGTAATTTCACCAGAACCAGAACCAGAACCAAAATCAGAACGCAGTAATGCTCATATTGCCGCTTGGCGGAGAAATAGGTAAGATGGCAGTACTTTCCTGGATATACTCTTCTACAAGGAGCTCTACTGCTGCTAAATTTATTCAACACAGCGACTTCCGAGGGAGGTGTTATCTACTCTATGTACTTGATGCTTAGGTAAATTATGTGTGACATTCCTCTGTCCTAATTATAATAATAAATAATAACGCTCACAATCAACATAGCCCCGCACTAGGGAAACCCTGTGTCGCGGGTGCCATGGACACACAATTAGACAACCACAAATTACACCCAAACTCACGAGAGAAATAAATGTAGGCCATACAAATATTTCTCCCGGCCCGGGAATCGAACCTGGGACCTCTGCGTGGCAGTCCGGCATGGTAACCGTTCGGCCACGGAGGCAGTTCAAATCAAAAAGTATAGTTTACAAATTATATTTTGTAAACTATAATCACTTGCAAAAATAATTCTGGCTAATAATAAAACTAGTGGCAACAGAATATACGTGCCTTTTTAGTTTCTTGCCGCCATCTTAGAAGAAAGGATGCTACAGGTTTCAAAAACCATACAAAGTGACGCATTAGCTAATTACTAACGTCTTCTTGTTTGTAAATAAAAATGTTTGTTTTTTAGTTTTTATTTTTGGAATTTTTATTTTTAATAAGGAACTCGTTGTCTTCGCAAAAAGGTAGCTTATATTTTAGTAGCGTTTAACTTTAACGTTTTATAACTTTAACATGTTTTTATTCTTATAATTTATTTTAATTTTATATCATTTTGACGATATATACATTCAAAAGATGTATAACAAAATCGAAAAAAAGATAAGGTTTTTTTATTAAATGCATTTTATTAAGCATTTAATACGTCAAACAAAGTTGTGTTCGCATGTTCTAAGTGGTGATGTACTTATTTAGGTACCATCAATTTAGGCTTATTTTGTTATTAAACTAAAAGTTATACCACAAATTAATTTTAAGTTACTCAGATCTGCTTTGGAACAAAATTTTTAATTAGCTTCTAAATCTAAGTGTATATTCCCCTTTTTAGGGGTGAATCAGAACTATAGGGTGAAGTTAAACGAGACCAAAACACCTTATTCATTAAAGAATGTTTCGCACATGAAATCATACACTGTCGTAACTGAAAATTGCGAAATTGAGAAGCGTACGTTCTCAATTTTTAAGATTGACAGTTCAAAACATACATACATATACAAATGTATATATATATTTATATTCTCGTTTATAAATGGATAAGTAAATATTATATTTTAGGGCAACTGGCAAAAGAAAAATAACGTTTTTTTTTTCCATGTCAATATTATTTATTTATTATGTTATTTTATTATGACCCTATACTGTCCCATATCAATAATGTAAAAAATATATAATTTTGTTATATTTGGCAAGAGCTAAGTGGCATTTACATCAAGTACGTTTTTTTTAATCTGTCATCATTACTTTCGACACTTTATTATTGAGACTGCGATTTATGTAATTTATTATTAGACAAAAATTCATTACGCCACGAATCACATACCGAATGCCAACCTATTTAATTCGCCCCAGTTCTGATTGACCTCGTTTTAAATTTGGACGTTAGCTGTTTTATTATTGACTGTACCTTTTGTCATAAATCGATGCCTTACTTTCATAAGCTCCAATCATTGACTTACAATTATATGGACGTCGGGTCCGCGCTAAAAAGTGTCCGAACTATAGGGCGTTAAAATTGTATACAGAGTGTCATTCACGCTTTAGTCTTCGTTTGTTCGACTGACAACGAAGCAAGAAAAATTAGACAGTACTGCGATGACATTACAATTTAAATTCAACGTTTTAGCTTTTACATATTCCTTTACATGTCACTACGTTTAAATAGGTTGACTTGGGACATTTTTTTCGTGGTTTTTGTATTAGACCCGTCGTCCATATAATTGTAAGTCAATGGCTCCAATCCTATAAAGAGT